ATATGGAATTTGACAAGTTCCCACATAGGTTTTGAGCTTTTTGGCTACAACATATGCCATAACATGGGGGTGTGGTCAGCATACATATATGATCCCGTCGCCTGTCGTCCCGAGCCCCCCCCCCAACTGAGCATGACCAGATGACCTGCGTCAAACATAGACCCAGCCCCCATTCCCACACATTCCCACATAAGGGCAGAACCAGGGGGCGGGGGGGCTTGCACTGTCACACTGTGCCACCTTCTTGACTGAGCATGACCAGCTGAAACAAGAGTAAGGGCTTCGGCCTGCGCCAAACATAGACCCAGCCTCCATTCCCACACATTCCCACAGGGGGGCGGAGCCAGGGGGCAGGGGGGCTTGCACTGTCACACTGTGCCACCTTCTTGACTGAGCATGAGCAGCTGAAACAAGAGTAAGGGCTTCGGCCTGCGTCAAACATAGACCCAGCCTCCATTCCCACACATTCCCACAGATTCCCACAGGGGGGCGGAACCAGGGGGGCGGGGGGGCTTGCACTGTCACACTGTGCCACCTTCTTGACTGAGCATGACCAGCTGAAACAAGACTAAGGGCTTCGGCTTGCGTCAAACATAGACTCAACCCCCATTCCCACACATTCCCACAGGGGGGCGGAACCAGGGGGGCGGGGGGGCTTGCACTATCACACTGTGCCACCTTCTTGACTGAGCATGACCAGCTGAAACAAACATAGACCCCCACACATTCCCACAAAAAGGCGGAACCAGGGGGGCGGGGGGGCTTGCACTGTCACACTGTGCCACCTTCTTGACTGAGCATGACCAGCTGAAACAAGAGTAAGGGCTTCGGCCTGCGTCAAACATAGACCCAGCCCCCATTCCCACACATTCCCACAGGGGGGCGGAACCAGGGGGGCGGGGGGGCTTGCACTGTCACACTGTGCCACCTTCTTGACTGAGCATGACCAGCTGTAACAAGACTAAGGGCTTCGGCTTGCGTCAAACATAGACTCAGCCCTCATTCCCACACATTCCCACAGGGGGGCGGAACCAGGGGGGCGGAGGGGCTTGCACTGTCACACTGTGCCACCTTCTTGACTGAGCATGAGCAGCTGAAACAAGAGTAAGGGCTTCGACCTGTGTCAAAACATAGACCCTAACCTCATTCCCAC